TCCCTTTGAACTTTTTGTTTGTTTGTTTAAGCATGAATGTTTCTGGACTCCCTTTGCCCTCATCTTCCCCGATGGGAATCCAAAGGGGTAGCCAAGTCGCAAGATTGGGGACGAAACAGGAGTTGTGGAGAGAAATAATAGGTAAAACCCCTATTTTAAAAAAAAAAGAAAAAGCAAGCCAGGTGCGGTACAGTCAGTTCCACTGAAGGCGACCTCTGATGTTGCAGGGAAGGGTCGGCTCCACGGGGTTTCTCCTTCATGGAGACAGATCACCAGGACTTTCTGCCACCCCACCTCCAGGCAGGTCCCACCTGCCAGCTTTTTGACCAGTAGCAGTGTGAGTACTTAAGCGTTTGTGCCACTCAGGGGCCCGAGCACCTCAATAAAAGCAGAAAGACAAACAAAAAGCCAAACTCACGGCTAAAGAGTCAATTCCGACTCAGCCACCCTAGGGACAGGCTCCTTGGGGCTTCTGAGACTTCAAATCTTTATGGAAACAGGCTTCTCTTTTCTCCTTAGAGGGGCTGGTGGGTTCAAACTGCTGACCCTGTGGTTGGCAGCTCAGTAGGTAGCCCGCTGAGCCACCCCCGCATTCTGACTCACAGTGACCCTAGAGAGGGTTTCTGAAGCTTTAAATCTTTAAAGGAGCAGACAGCCTCATCTTTCTCCCAGGAAGCAACGGGTGGATTTGAACCATCAACTTGTAGTTAGCAGTCCGATGATGATGGGACAGTGCTTGCCAACACCTCTGTAGAACTTGTTATATGTGCCAATCTGATCCTTGCAATATTTCTACACTAAACTCATACCCCTAGTTTGGGGCCTTGTCCAATCCTCTCATAGAAGCTCTGGTGGTGTAGTAGATATGCTTTGGGCTGCTAACCTCAGGGTCAACAGTTTGAAACCATCAGCCGCTCCATGGAAGACAGATGAGGCTTTTGACTCCCATAAAGAGTTACAGTCTTGGAAACTCAGGGGGGGCAGTTCTACCCTGTCCTATAGGGTTGCTATAAGTCAGCATAGACTCAATGGCAATGAGTCTGATTTTTGGTTTTTTAGAATCCTCTCATCTGATGCAAGCCCCAGGTAATTCCCTCTCTCTGTGCCTCAGTTTCCATACCTGTAGAGTGGTGATGCCCTGCCTGTTCAGCCAGGCCATGCTTCAAAGTGTGTGGGATGGGAGGACCAACCATTCCAGAAGGAAGGTGCTTGGTGTCCTATGATCACGAGGAAGGACTGTGCTGTACCACAGCGGGCAGGGCAATCAGGAAGGTGCCTGCTCCCGGAGCCACTTTACCAGCATAACTCCCTACCTCCCCAATGGGTGGGGGCGATAATGATCTTGATTACCATTAATAGCTGGAGCTTATTGAAGGCTAATTTCTCTGTGGCAAGCACCATTCCGAACATATTATCTGCATTCATTTGACCGTGGTCACAACCTTGTGAGTCGGGTGGTCTTATTTCCATTTGATAGAAGAAGAAACTACGGCACCGAGAGGTTGAATAGGCCCCAAGACACACAGAAGTAGCCACGCTAAGCAGTAGCCACGCAGGGATTTGAACCTAGGGGAGCTAGCGTCCACATCCCTTGCTCCAAACCAGCATTCTTGAGCTTCCCTCTGCAGAAGGCGTCAGGCTTCAGGTACCAAGGACTTCTCTAATCTCCCACCAGTGAGGCCCAGGACCCGACCAGCCTTAAGATGGCAGAGCAGACCGAGCCTCCTCAGCCTCAAGAGCACGTGTCTGACTTCTGTTCAAGTTCAGGTTCTGGCTCAGAAGGTCTGTGGTGGAGTCTGAGATGCTGCACTTCTGACAAGCTCCCAGGGGATGCTGAGGCTGCCGGCCCATGGGTCACACCTTGGGTAGCAGGGTCCTAGGCTGCTAGCTACCTGGTTTGCATGTGTCTTTCCAACAAATGCGACCCAGAGCTGGGCCCTGGGGGGAGGCCGGGAGGCAGGGAGAGGGCTGGTCGTTAGCAACCCATTCCAGGCGAGGAGGGACTGAGACACCATGTGGACTCCAAAGGGCAGGATGGGTCGCAAGCCTGTGGTTGGAACAGTCACACAGCTGCCATCAGATTGGTCTTGGGTCCCAGGTGCCGGATCCTCTGGACAATTTTGACCAGGCAAACATCTTCCTCCCTACTTAGGGAGGGGAGGCTGAGGCCGAGGGAGGTCCCATGACCTGGAGCTAATGTGTTCTTCCCTTGCTCATCTCTGGGTGTTTCCTCCCCATCAGGCACTGTTCTGACTGCTTTGCATTATGGTAACTCATTCAGGGCTCACAACCGCCTTTCAAAGTAGGTCCTGTTCTCGTCTCCAGGAAACAGACTCAGAGAGGGGAAGGAACTTGCAGAGAGCCACCCAGTCAGAAAGTGACAGCGCTCGGCGTGAGCCCAGGTTTAGCTAGAGGCTCTTCACTGCTTTGTTCAACTGCCACTCCTGTGTGGTCTGGGGCTTTAAGCAGATTGGGGGTGGAATCCCCACCTCACTGCTTGCAGGAGCCCTCAGGCGGATGGCTTTACAGCCGGAAGCCCCCATTTCCTCCTGTGCACAGTGGGATGATAAAGCCAAGGCCTGGGGAACTTGAATGCACTTGGCTGGCCGTGTACTTGTTAGCGCCCGAGGTGGGTTCTGGGAAGCTTCCCCCCGCCCTGGCTTCCAGCCGCAAATCCCACCATTAGCACTTCTGTAGGTGGTCAGTGTTTTTCGGTCACCAGAGCCACCTGTTAAACAAACAAACAAACCCTTTATGTGGTCGTGACTCATAGGACCTTAGGGAAGGAAGACCAGGCTGGCTTTCTGTGGGGGGTGGCGTGGGGTTAGGGGAGGCTTTCATTTGACCGAGGAGGACACAGGATCAGAAGGGGAAGTTCCCTCTCTGGTCACACTGGGAGGCCAAGTGTGGGGAGGGTGGTGGGGACAGCCCTGGTGATTCTGCATCAACCTTGGCACAGTGGCGGGTCCCAGTGGGCTGGGAGAGATTTGTCTATTTTCAAGGCTGTCCTGGGGTGCCCCGTTTGTACCTGCTCATAGGTACTCAGGTGTTGGAGGCAGCCTTGACCTCACTCCTTGGAGGGTCTTAGACCCCAGAGCAGCAGGGGTAGGGGAAGGAAAATCGCCTCTAGGAGCCCCAGCAGGCTGTTGGACAAGCACTGGGCTGCTAACCACAGGTGGAGGTTCAAGCCCAGCAGTTGCTCTGCGCGCGAGAGAAGAGGCTGCCTTCTCTTGGAAAGGGTTGGAAACCCTCCCATCCCTCGTTTCAGGTCACTATGAGTCAGAATCGCCTGAGTGGCAGTGGGTTGGGTTTGGGTGGCCCTGTGGACTGAGGCGGCAGAATGGCTGGGGAATTGACCCCTGGACCTTAGCAGAGGCCACACTGAGTCCTGGTTCCCCGCTTACCAGCTTGAGTGAGTCAGCAGGCCCCACCAGGACTCACGTGTTTCAAACAAGGGCCACTCCAGTGCCCCAGTGCTGCCCCCGTGCCTGGCATGTGGCGGGGGCTTAGGGAGTAGATGCTGGTGTCAGAGGATGCTTCTTGGTCAGATGTGGAAGGATTTCCTGATAGATGCTTGGCCATGAGTCAGCCCCCATGCAGGGCAGGACGGGTGCAGGGGCAGGCGGTGGCAGGGGGGAGGGGCAGAGACCAAGTGGCTTGGCTCAGGCCTGTGGGCAGGACTTGTGCTTAGAAGTGGGCCAACTTGGGTTTGCAACTCGGCCCTGCCACGGTCCAGCTTGGTAACCCTGGACAGGTCACTGTACTTGTTCGTGTCTGGGAATTTGCTAGGCCTGAGGGAGGCACTACTCGGAGCGGTTAGGAGCTCCTAAGTGTCAGGCCTGGTTTCAAATCCTATCCTCGCCATTGACCAACTCTGCTTCTGGTTCCTCGCCTGTCAGTGGTACCGAAGGGCCTGTCTCACTGGTTGTGAGGCTAGAGCAAGATGCTGAATGTAAACGGGCTAGCTCATCCTGGAAACTCAAGGAGCTGGTGATGCG